ACACACACACACAGTATATATAAACAATTAGCTTCCAAGGAAACGTGCAGTTTTAGTGTTTTAGAAACACATGTTGAACTCCTGCAGCGCCACCTGGAGGCTCAAAGCTGCCTCCTGCAGTCAGTCCAGGATCCGGGTCAAATAAACCTGCCGCAGCCTGCTCCAAACACCCCACGTCTACTGAGTGATTGACAGCTCAGACCGAGGACTCACGGGCGGTTTTGGATTGGAGAGCTCTGGCTCGGCTCAGGAAGGGGAAGGTGGTGCCGAGGCAGCCAGAGGCCACAGTCAAACCCAGACTGGCCCAGGCGCAGCAGATAGACCAGCCATAACCGTGATCCACATCAGCCGGCAGACCATAGATGAAGGGCGGGTTCCTGGAGAGGTCATAGGTCACACTGGCTGCATATGTACACAGAGAGATGGTGCAGAAGATCCCTGAGAACAGATCAGAGATCAGAACAAATATCTGAGAGCAGGATGTCAGTCCTGAAAAATCAGTAAGTCACACATTTGATTTGCAGGAGCAGAAAACAAATTTCATCTGTGAATGAATGAATGAATGATTAAATATTTTCAAGCACACAAAGATGCTTGGCTCACTGCTTAAATCAGCTCCAACTCGTCGAACGCATGGTATCAGACACTGAGCTCAGTCAAGTCTCTCAGACTGAGACGAGCTCTGTAATCTGTAATAATGAGTTGGGGGCGTCCTGCACACTCTGTTCTAACCCCTACAGTCAGTTGCTGGAATTGTCCTTCCTGTTCGTACTAGACTTTAACAGCTGTGGCTCAGGAGATAGAGCCGCTGTAACCCCAACCGGAAGGTCGATGATTCGATGGACTACTGTAACTCTTTACTATCAGGACGTCCCAATAATTCCCTAAAAAGCCTCCAGTTAATCCAAAATGCTGCAGCCAGAGTACTGACAGGAACTAGCAAGAGAGATCATATCTCTCCCATATTAGCTTCTCTTCACTGGCTCCCTGTAAAATCCAGAATAGAATTTAAAATCCTTCTCCTAACATACCTGTTAATCTTAATCACCTCTGAAGACAGTTTGGCAAGATTTGGTACTGATAAACACACTGTTCATGTACTTTAGGCTCAGATCCACCTTAAAAACCCTCAAAATTGTGTGGGATGATAAACTTCTTGACCAGCCACTGGTCATATGGACTCAATCAGCACAAAAATCTGCTGTATTTTATGCACAACAAACTCGCATTCTTTGTTTGTCTTGTATTATTCTGTTAAAATTTTTATTTTAAAAATATGGTAGCAGGGCTTTTCATGATTACTTGTTTGCTCGTGGATCTGTTCAGCAGTGTACCAGAACCCCACCCGACTGTTGCTGTGGGTCCTAACTGTGACCAGCAGAGGGCGACACAGCCCTGTCTCAGGTGTGTTACCTGCCATGAGGAACAGCAGTCCAGAGACATGCTGTGTCAGACTCTCCTCCCAGAAGAATCCGACTGATGCCACGATGCTCCCACACAGCAGGACGGCCGCTGCCATGCCCAGAAACCCTGCAGTGATCCGGCGCAGGTCTACAGCAACAGACAGACACATTATATACACACACATAACACTCACATAAACATACATTAAGCATATATACACACCGGAGACACATACACTGTCAGTAACTGATAAATGAGAAAACACTGGAGCATCACTGTGGTAACCACCTCCGGATCAACCCCCCACCGTCCCTCTATACTGTTATATAAAACTGTCATGGCACGTTTCCATGGCAACCAGCAACAAGCAGTGAGGGAGAGTGCTGAGAGCCAGAAATCTCAGGTATTAAAGGGCCAGTGTGACTGATAATGTTTATGGATAATTAGCAGAGAATATATGTAAACTTGCTTATGTGATGGCTTACTTATGTCTCTAACCACTAAAATCAAACTAACAGTTTTACAACAAAAAGTGCTGTTCGTTGTTGTTCTATCACTGACTGAGGTTCAGTTGTGATGGTTTAACAGCATTGTATGTATGTTTTCCAGAAAGAGCAGTGGATGGTTTCTGTTTCTCTTTGATGATTGGAAACATCTCAAGCTCAGTGTTTTTCAGACCTGCTGCTGTCACAACACAGTGACAGAGCAACTTCCAACCTGCGTAAATAAACTGTCACTGAGATCTATGGCAGCCTCTAAGGACAAAAAACACAAAACCAAAGCGCAAACATTAAACATGCACTAATTGAAGTTAATGTGTTGACAAAACAGTTCCTTATTTGCACCTCTAGCAGCTACACCATGACCCTCCATGTGCAGTGTGTCTGTGTCCCCCTGAGGAGCCTCAGCCCCGTGCTCCCTCTGTGTTCGCTCTTGTTTTGGTCTTCACCTCCTCTGGCTCTGGAACTGCTAAACGCTCCACTGTGTTCCCCACTTGGACCCTGAATGGCTCTGTCTGCTATTTTCTACTGGGCAGGTCGTGGACATCAGCTGTTTAGAGCTTCTCCTCTGACAACAACTGCTTTCTGCTGTGGCCCAGAGCCACACTGTGAGAGCGGGGAGAACCAGGACGGTAATGCTGCGGTCCGACACTGTACGGTGAGCTGAGATACATCAGCTGCAGAGTCAGAGTTTTATATGTAGTAAATACTAATTTTATCCACCTCAAGAGAACTGCAACTAAAAATAGTACATAAGCATTAATGTACAAATGTTTGAGTGTCTGTTGCATTTTGAGCTGCAGGTCATTTCTCACTGGTTTTCTGTATTTGGGCATTTGTGCAAAGTTTTATTTTCTCAGCTTCGTCTGCTAAAGGAAAGTTTCTCCGTTCTCACCTTGGATATCAGTTTTACACCTGGATCTACCTGCTGAATTATGACATCACAGCTAGTCTGGAGCCAATTAGGGCCCAGCATGAGGCTGAAGTGTACAGGTGAGAAACACTGAGATGTAGGAAACACTTGGAAACAGACGTCAGCTTTACAAGCCAACCACATTCACAAACAACAGCAGCACAGCCATCAGTAGCAGTCCTTTAAAATAAAATATTACTGCAGCAGCTGGATCTTGTAAACCAAACCAGTCACACTCACAGTGGAACAGCAGCGTCCTAGTCCCCCCCCCAGGCAGGTTTACCTTTCTCTGCTTGGTGGCCGGGTTCTCAGCACCGTTGAAACGGGTCTCCCCCCAACCACCAGGGGCAGCAGTAAACAAATTGATGCTTGGCACACCAGGGCGAGGGGAGGAAGACAACAAAATATACTGGGATAAGCCACATTAAGGTGAGATTTGTGATTAACTGGAAGTGATTTTCCAAACATCGTGGTCTACTTTTCCAGAGAAAAGACTTATTGGGCGGTTACTGAGTGGTTGGTTGTTCATATGTGCGCCTGGTGTGTGGGAGCTTCTCTGTTAAAATGTCATGTCCTGACAGTTTCTGCGAGATGTATCCAGGATGGTCTCAGTTCTAAACAGGGCTAGTAGCCTTTTCTATCGTGATATTGCTGAATTACAAATATCGCTATATCTGTAATATTCATACATTATGCTTGTGTCATGGTCCTGCCCCGCTGGCTGCCGGTTTTTCCTGCTTTTATTTTGGTACCACTTCCTGTCACCAGCCCATCCACAACCCCGGTAACTTCAGCTCATCATGCACATTGGTTTCACCTGCCACTAATCACCCACACCTGTTCACCACAGCATATAGCAGCTCCTCACACAGATTGTTCTATGCCTTGTCTAGACTGTCCAGCGTTTCCCTTGGACTGCTTTCCTGGTACCGGACCCTTGCCTGCTCCAATGACCTGTGATCCAGCCTGCTCCCTCTTGTCTGACTGCCCACCTGAGATCGACACCCTGCCTGTTCAACCAACCTGTGATTCTGCCTTTCCTTCCCTGCTGCCCTGCTGGAGACTTTGACCCTGGACCGTATTAAATACCACTCTTCTGCCTCATCCTTGTGTGTTTCTGCTGAAATCACAAAAGGACAT